ACTTACCCATCGCTGGTAAGCCAATTTTCCTTCAGTTTTGAAGCCAACGGTTACCTACCCATCGATGGGTAAATGCTTCCCATCGCTGGGTGGGAGGTTGACTTTCAAATAAGGAAAGAATCAGCCTTAAATGACTCCCAACGGTCATGCCTTCCCATCGATGGTTAAGCCTTCCCATCGCTGGGTTCCCATCGATGGTTAAAGCTTCCCATCGCTGTTTGGCATGGTTCTGGAAATTGGTTTGGCTAAGGGACTGCTTACCCATCGATGGGAAGATCTTCCCATCGCTGGGTGACATGATTCTGGAATCCCGGGATCACTTACCCATGCATGGGTGAAATCTACCATCGCTGGGTAGATGGCTAGCCCAGAACCATGGCCTAGCTCACCGGCGCTGAAACCCGACCGAAAAATGCAAAGTTCTCCAAAGTAAAAACTAAGTATATAAAACACTTATTTAATGTATTTTGATGTCAAAACAAGCTTTGTAAGTTAAAAACCACGTCGTTAAGGTAAAAACCACGGTTGACCATGTCAACACCGTACACGGGTGGTTTTCACCAAAAGACAAAACCGAAAGGTGGTTTTCATGATGTTTTGATTGGAGAACCATTTAAATGCATTCAAAAACAAATCCAACACAAAAAGACTCGAAAACCACTTCATTTAAGTAAAAATCGCGGCTAGCCAAGTTTATGCCGTTTCGCATGGTTTTTATCAAACGACGAAAAACGAAAGGTGGTTTTTAAAGTGTTTTTGATGGAAAACTATTTAAATGTGCCCAGAAGTAAAAAACAATCATAAAAAGTTGAAAACCACTTGGTTAGTTCGGACGCCAAAAACCAACGCCGAAAACCGAATGCCGAACGCCGGTTTCTGAAACCCGAACGCCGGATGGCTTGGTTTTTGGTTTGGGCGAACACCAAGTGTTTTTAATGATTTACACATGTTTGAAAAACATTTTTATGATGTGTGAAATGCAATGCAAAGAATTTTAGCCTAAAGAGCCAAGGTGTAAAGGTTGGGTCGGTCTTGATCACAATTAAGACCGACTCAACGATACTAAGGTCTTCGTTCTTGGTCTTCGTTTAGCTATTGTTCTTATCTTCGTTCTTCGCCTTGTATATTCAATGTTTGACTTGATCATGGTGGTTTGGAATTATCAAAACCTGTCATAAAAACAAACACGGCTTTAGTACGAAAACGTGACATGCCCGTGTTTCAACAATTTCCCCCTTTTTGATAATGGCAAACGAGATGAGGTTATGCATATGAGGAAGTCTTTGATACTTAAAAAATGTTCCCCCTTAATAGATGCCATTTTATTTGAAAAATAGTTCCCCCTCAATTTATGCATAACCTTGATATCTTCCCCCTTTTGACATTAACAAAAAGAATTAAAAGTAAACTTTAGATTTTAAAAGTGAACTTTTATTTCTTTAAAAAAGGAAATGCGGAATACAACGGAATGGAAATAGTAAAGAGACAATCATAGTAAGGAAAGGAAAAGAAAGAAGAGTCTAGGCAGCGGCGTCCTCGTCCTCGGCGTCATCGTCTTCTTCGTCGTCCTCAACGTCCATGGGATCCCCGTCGACCGCGTCCTCAAAATCGGCCTCGTCGGGGGAGGAGGACGGAGCATAGGAGTCATCGTCCTCGTCCTCGCCTTCATAGTTTTGGCCGAGGATGGTGCTGTCAAAGGGAGGCGGGACGTAGTTGATCCCCCGGAAGTACGCCCTCATGTCGTGGCGTTGGCGTTGAATCGACCAGTCCATCCTCTCCAGGTACTGGCCCATGCCATCCACGGTGACGGTTAGCCGATTCAGGGTATCGGCTATCGACTGCAAGGAGGCCTTGGCGGGAGCGGGGGTTGTGGCAGGGGCACGAGCACGACTCGGTCCGGTGCCTGTTTCGTCACCGGACTTCTTCCGGAAGGTGCTATCTTGGATGATCCAAATCTTCGTCACCTTCGTGGCCGGGCCGGCGATGTGGATTTCGGCCGCGACAATGAGATCCATGACGAGGAAGGCGTAGGGCAAGCTCCTTTTGGTGGCGATTGAGGCGCAATCCGCCATGTGGATCATGACGTATTTCGCCTAATTGATCGAGGCACCATGGGTGATTGCATGAACGGCCTTGAGATCCTCGTTGAAGAGACACGTGTGGCTGCCGTCCCGGGGGCGAAGAATCCGGGTGAGGATGTAGAGTAGAAGGCGCTTCTCCGGCGGGGCTGAGTGAATGGTAGGTGCGCCGCTGTGACGGACGAGGTTGGTGATTCCCAGCTCTCGGATGACCACCGCCTCGTTGTTGAGGATCCAATCATCGCCACCATAAGTTGCGATGTCGTCACCGCGAGTGGGCAAACCCGCGATCCTGGCAAAGGTAGCCAAATCAAACTCGAAGTCCACGAGATTGATGCTGCTGCGAATAGTGTCCCCGTCCCGGCGGAGATTGGAGTAGAAAGCCCGAACGTAGGCGGGATTGAAGGATTGACGGCTTCTGGAGACGAACGACCACAGACCAGACTCTTTGAGTTGATTGTCGAGGTCGTGGTACCCCTTTTGTTGAGGGTACAGCTCCGGGAGCACGCGGGGCGGAGAGATCGGGTGCTTGGCGAAATAGGTGATGAAACGAGAGAGTTCCTCTTCCGACCCGAACTCCAAGAAGGACCCGTCGAGGTATGGGAAGGGTTGAGGTGCAGAGCTCGTAGCCTCGGCGGCGGTCTTCTTCTTCGAGGCCTTGCTCTTGGATTTTCCACCGGCCATTGCTGAGACGCTTATGAAGAAGAGAGATGAAGTATTGAGATTTGGATCAAGGAGTGAAATTATGATGTTAATGGTGTATTAGAAAGAACAAATATGGTGAGTATAAATAGGGAAGGGAAGATTTGGACGTTTGGATTCAAAAATATGGCTGTTGGACAATTAATGTGGTGCCCAACGGCTCTGAATTTTTGAAATGCACCAGCCTTCCCAGCGATGGGTGGATTTTCCCATCGATGGGAAGGTCGCCACTGGAAAGCGAAGGAGAAAAGCTGAACTGCCTTCCCATCGATGGTTAAACTCACCCATCGATGGGAGGGTGGCTACTGGAAAGTGAAGATTAAAGAGCGAAAGCCTTCCCAGCGATGTTAATACCATCCCATCGCTGGGTTGGTGATTTTGAAAATCCGAAAATTTTTTTTTTTTTTTTTAAAAAGTGTCAAACACCCAGCGATGGGAGAAACTTCCCATCGATGGGTAGGAAGATTCTGAAAAAAAATTTTGACAAAAGTTCTTCACCCAGCGATGGGATAAAGTACCCATCGATGGGTTAGGGTGTTCTGGAAATCCGTTAAGTATTTTAAAAAAATAGAGTCAATTACCCATCGATGGGAAGAAGCACCCATCGATGGGAAGAGGGGTTCTGGAAAAAAAAACTTCCCTCCCAGCGATGGTATGGCCTACCCATCGCTGGTTCCCCCTGATTTCCAGAATTCTTCACTTCGAACCGTCCCTGCAAAAAAGAGTTAGAAAACCCTCCGACGCTCAAGTTAGTAAACGTTCCAGTAACAATAAAAGAATGATAAAATGCACAAATTAGATCATCGTGGAGTCAAGGATTCCGAGTTCGCTACGAATGCGGAAGAACGACTCTTTCTCTAAAGGTTTTGTGAAAATGTCGGCTAATTGGTTGTGTGTTTCAACAAACTCAATTTCGACATCACCTTTGAGAACATGATCTCTAATGAAATGGTGCCTAATGTCAATGTGTTTCGTCCTTGAATGAAGAACGGGGTTCTTC